CTTTTAATGATGCCCATTCTAAAAGGTCCAAGCTTGCTTGAAACTCAGCATTCAAAAAACTGAATGTTTATTGTATCTTGTCCCATCACTCCAAGGCAAATAGAAGGGGAAAAGTTGGAAGCAGCGATAGATTTTATTTTCTTGGGCTCCAAAATCACTGCAGATTGTGGCTGCTGCCTTTAAATTAAAAGACACTTGCTCATTGCAAAGAAAACTATGATAAACCTATACAGCACATTAAAAAGCAAGGATATCAGTTTGCTGACAATGGTCCTTATAGTCAAAGATATGGTTATGCAGTAATCATGTTTGAATGTTATTTCCTACATGCAGGCTCAGTTGTGTCCTTCTCTTTGGGACTCCATGGACTAAAGTAGTCCAGACTCCTCCGTACATGGGATTTTCCAAGCAAGAATACTAGAATAGTTTCCATTTTCTAAACCAGGTGAAGATTTTCCAAGCAAGAATGCTGAAACAGGTTCCCATTTCCTACTCCATAGTTTGATCACCCTCCTAGGGCCAGACATCATGGAGTGTGAAGTCAAGTGGGCCTTAGGAAGCATCACTATGAACAAAGCTAGTGGAGGTGATGGAATGCCAGGTGAGTTACTTCAAAAACTAAAAGATGATGCTGTAAAAGTGCTGCACTCAATATGCCAGCAAATTTGGAAAAGTCAGCAGTGGCCACAAGACTTGAAAAGGTTAGTTTTCATTCCAATCCCAAAGAAAGGCAATGGAAAAGAATGTTCAAACTACTGCACAATTGTACTCATCTTACACACTAGCAAAGTAATGCTCAATATTCTCCAAGCTTGTCTTCAACAGCATATGAACTGAGAACTTCCAGACATTCAAGCTGGATTTTAAAAAGGCAGAGAATGAGAGATGAAGTTGCCAAAATCCATTGGATGCTACAAAAACAGGAGAATTCAAAAAAAAAAAAATCCACTTCTGCTTCATTGACTATGCTAAAGCTCTTGACTGTGTGGATTAAATCAAATTATGGAAAATTATTCAAGAGATGGGAGTACCAGACAGCCTACCGGCTTCCTGCAAAACCTATATGCAGGTCAAAAAGCAACAGTAAGAACTGGACATGGAAAAATGGACTGGTTCCAAGCTGGGAAAGAGTACTTCAAGGATGTATATTGTAAACTTGCTTATTTAACTTTTATGCATCATGTAAAATGCTGGGCTGGATGAAGCACAACCTGGAATCAAGATGGCCAGGAGAAATATCTATAACCTTAGATATGCAGATGACACCACCAAATGTCAGAAAGTAAAGAGGAAATAGTCTCTTGATGAAGGTGAAAGAGGAGAGAGAAAGAGCTGGCTTAAAACTCAACTTTCAAAAAATGAAGATCATGCCATCTATTCTCATCACTTCATGGCAAATAGACGGGGAAACAGTGACAGACTTTATTTCTTGGGCTCCAAAATCACAGTGGACAGTGAGTGCAGCCATGAAATTAAAAGAATCTTGGTCTTGGAAGAAAAGCTATGACAAACTTAGAGAGTGTATTAAAAAGCACAGAAATTACTTTGCTGACAAAGGTCTATATAGTCGAACTATGGCTTTTCCAGTAGTCAGGTATGGATGTGAGAGTTTGACCCTAAAGAAGGCTGAGCATCAAAGAATTGATGCTTTTGTGCTGTGTTGTTGGACAAGACTTTTGGGAGTTCCTTGGTCTGCAAGGAGATCAAACTGGTCAATCCTAAAAGAAATCAATCCTGAATATTCACTGGAAGAACTGATGCTGAAGCTGAAGCTCCAATATTTTGGCCAACTGATGTGAAGTGCTGACTCACTAGAAAAAACCCTGATTATGGGAAATATTGAGGGCAGGAGGAGAAGGGCCAAAGAGGACTAGATGTTTAGATGGCATCCCTGTCTCGATGACATGAACTTGAGCAAGCTCGGGAGATGGTGATGGGTAGGAATGCCTGGCCTGCTGCAGTCCATGGGGTCACAGAGTCGGACGTAACTGAGTGAATGAAAAATGCCATGAGATCTCCTGACTCAGGAATAGAACCTGCATCTTCCACAGCAACTGCATTGGCAAGTGGTTTCTTTACCACTGAACCATAAAGAAGGCTGAGCACCAAAGATTTGATGCTTTCTGATTGTGGTGCTGGAGAAGACTCCTGAGAGACCCTTGGAGAGCAAGGAGATCAAATCAGTCAATCCTAAAGGAAATCAACTCTGAATATTCATGGAAGGAGTGATGCTGAAGCTGAAACTCTAATACTTTGGCCACCTCACGTGAAGAACTGACTCACTGCACAAAACCTGATGCTGGAGCAGATTGAAGGGAAAAGGAGAAGGGGTCGGCAGAGGATGAGGTGGTTAGGTATGTATTTGAGCAAACTCTAGGAGATAGTGGAGAATGGAGGAGCTTGTCATGCTGTAGTCAATGGGGTCACAGCGTCAGATACAACTTGGTGACTGAACATCAACAACAATTCTAATAGGTGTGAGGAGGGATTTTGACTTGCATTTCATGATGCTTAGTAACATCAATCCCCTTTTCAAGTACCTGTTGACCATTTATATGTCTTCTTTGGGCAAATAGGTATTCAGTAACTCCATTCATTTAAAAAAAAATTGCTATTGAGTAATATGTGTTACTTATTTCTTTTGTATATCAGTCTATATCAGATGTGTAATTTTCAAAATACTCTCCAATTTTGTACATTGCCCTTCATTTTGTAAATCATTTATTTTGCTGTGTAGAAACTTTTGAGCTTGATATAGCTCCACCTTTTATTTTGCACTGATTCCTTATATTGTTGGTATCATATCCCAAAATTTCTTGCCAATACCTTTGTCAAGAAATGTTTCCTTCTGTTTTATAATAAAAGTTTTATGGTTTCAGGTTTTATGTTCAAGTCTCTAGTCCATTTCTAGTCAAGTTTTGTAAGCAATGCAATGTGGTGGTTTAGTCGCTAAGTCGTGTCTGTCTCTTGTGGCACCATGGACAGTATCCAGCCAGGCTCCTTTGTCGATGGGATTCTCCAGGAAAGAATACTGGAGTGGATTGTTAATTCCTTCTCCAGGAGCTCTTCCTGGCCCCAGAATTGAACCTGGGTCTCCTGCATTGAAAACAGATCTTTACCAACTGAGCTATGAGGGAAGTAATGTAATATAAGGGTCCAAACTTTATTCTCCTGCATATAATTATTTAGTTTCCCTAGTACTACTTATTGAAGAGATAACACTTTTCCTATTGCGTGTTCTTCACTTTTTGTCAAATGTTATTCAATTTTACATAGAAGGGTTTGTATCAGGGCTCTGAATCCTGTCCATTGGCCTGTTATGTCTATTTTTATGACAATATCATCTTTTTTAAATTGCTATAACTTTGTAGTACAGCTTTAAATAAGAAGTGGGATGTCTCCAATGTCATTATTTCTTGGGACTGCTTTGGCTGTTTGAGATCTCTTGTGACTTCACACAAATTTAGAATTTGTTTTTCAATTTCTATGCCCCAGAAGGACTTAGAAATTGGTCATTCAATCCATTCTTCTTTTTCTGCCAAGGAACTCTTTCTAGCTTAAAGTTCTCTATTGGTGATGAGTAATGCTGGTTTGGGGAAGGTGCTGGTGAAATAAAGCTGCCATCATTCTGTTCTTGCATGATTTATCTCAGGCTTTTTTGTTCTACTGTGTTGCTAAAATTTCTTTCATGGCCTTTAGGACACTCCCAGAGATGGTTTTGCTCATAGATAGTGTTCAGCTTTTATTCTCTGTCAGGGAACAAGGAGCCTGGGTCCTTCTTTCTATTTATAAATTAGCAGAAGTAAGTTTCTAAACTGGTATTGGTTATAACTATGCAGATCGTGACTGTAGCCATAAAATTAAAAGACACTTTCTCCTTGGAAGAAAAGCTATGACCAACCTAGACAGCATATTAAAAAGCAGAGACATCATTGTCAACAAACGTCCGTCTAGTGAAGGCTATGGTTTTTCCATTGGTCATGTATGGATGTGAGAGTTGGACTATAAAGAAAACTGAGCACTGAAGAATTGATGATTTTGAACTGTGGTGTTGGAGAAGGCTCTTGAGAGTCCCTTGGACTACAAGGAAATACAACCAATCCATCCTAAAGGAAATCAGTCCTGAAAATTCACTGGAAGGATTGATGCTGAAGCTGAAACTCCAATACTTTGGCCACCTGAGGATGCAAATAACTGACTCGTTGGAAAAGACCCTGATGCTGGGAAAGATTGAGGGCAGGAGGAAAAGGGGACAACAGAATATGGCATCACTGACTCAGTGGACATGAGTTTGAGTAAGCTCCGAGAGTTGATGTTGGACAGGGAAGCCTGGTGTGCTGTAGTCCACGGGGTCGCAAAGAGTCAGACATGACTGAGCAACTGAACTGAACTGAACTGACATGAGGAAAGCTGAGTGGTTTTTCAGTTTCATGATTTTATTGTATTCCCTAAATTCTTTATAGTGGTAATAGCTAGAAATTTTAAGAAATAATAAGTACCATTGTTAATTTAAAAATTCATGTCCACTGTTAACTACATAGGCTTAAGACATATGAATGCCTTAAGTTAACTTTGATTGTATCTTTCTTTTCCTTTGTTCAGACTCCTTTCAGGGAATTTGAGGAGGTGGGTTTGGGCACAGACAGTTAGGGTATATAAGGTTTTCACAAAAACTGGTTAGGGTCCTTGACTAAGAGGAGACTCTGCCTTGGGCCCACCAGTGTAATAAACTGCACTCCACAATCAATCAATCAATCAATCAATAATAAAAATTCATATATTTTTAACAATAAATGTAACATCTCTTTGAGATTATAATTTATCATCAAGTAGTGGTAGGTGACAAAATGCCTTCACAAAATTTAGAAATTATAAAATAATCTTATTTGATATTAGGTGTGCTCTAAATTATGCAAAACTTGCCGATTTAAAATTATATAAAACTGCTTATTCCTTCAAAAACAAAATGATTCTTAGAAAATAATATATTCTCTACTCACAGAGGGTTGTTAATAACTGCTTTCAATGCATTAAGCAGATCTGCACTTGTCATTCTTCGCAAGTCTACTGCAACAGCTGCCCCTTTGGCTTTCAGATGAGCAATATTAACGCGCTGATCACCAAACATAGGAATTCCAACTATAGGGACCCCGTGGTAAATAGCTTCATAGATCCCATTGGTTCCACAGTGAGAGACAAAAGCTCTGGTTTTGGGATGACCTAAAAATAAAAAAAAATTTATATATATATATATTATTCTAAGTTGTGAGAGTGTCAGAAACAGAAAATCATGATACCTACATAAGCCAAATTCTATTAGGTAACATCTTCTACATAGTTCTGTGCCGTGAGAACACATATAAATTCTTATCGGCTCTGAAGAAAGCAGCAATTAATTAGTCCAGGCTAAGTATAATTAGTGATTCCAGAAATTAAGTCATTCCACAGACAACTAAGAAGTTTCCTGCAGAATACATGGTGGAAAGTACTTGTCATTTGACAAGTTGTTGCAGGGAGAATATATTAATAAAAGAGAAGGGAGGGACTGAAGAAACTAATATTTTTGTCGATGGGAAAGGGGAGGTGAGATGTGCAGGGTTTCAATATGAGAATGTTGGCATAACAAGCTAGAAAGATAGACTACATTAGTTCATGGTGTACTCTGTTAAAGAAAGTAAGATTTGCACTTGACTTTATACTAATATGCAGTATTAGTATAGTATAGTATATATATATATAGTATATACTATACTATATAGTATAGTATAATATGACTTTATACTATATATTAATAATTTATATTATACATGAAATATAGGTGAAATGGTTGCTAGGTTTTATTTTTTCATAGAGAAGAGAGGTGTGAGAAAATTGGTGACGAGAAATAGGAGTGTGTTGCAGTATTCTATGCAAAGTTAATGAAAGCCTGATCTAAAGGTACTTTCTCTGACATTGATCCTGAGGAGGGAGAAATTATATCATAAATGAGAGAGCCATAAATTTGATATTTATGTTAGAGTTTGACAAAGATCCTTGACCGAGGTTTAGTCAGGTTCCGCTGAACTCTTCTCAACTAGAATTTGATTTTGTGGCTCCACTATCTCTGTATTGCCCAATTTTAGCAAGCATTCTACTAGGTCAGTTGAACTGTGCAATTTTCCATCCAATCAATTTCCACTATGTTCTTTTGTGATAAATTCCCCATTTTTATTTCTGCATACAAATTGTTTCCAGTCTCTCTGTTTTATTGCACTAATAACTGTACTTATGGTGATGGTCTTGAAATAAATGTGTTTTACAGTCTTTAACAAGTGTCATGAATAATCCTTTCTTTCAAAACTCATGAAGCAATGTGAAGATTTATTTTTTTTCTTATTTTAAATACAAATTTGTTGATATTTGTTATTGAATAGTCATTCAGATTATACCTCATTCAGCTCTGTTTATTTTTCTTCTCTTTGGTCTTACCAAGAAGATCATTCCGTAGAATCCATTTATACAGCCGGGTATTGTCTCCTAGTGTTTCTGGTTTCTTTCCTATGTATCTCCACAGAATCTATTAAGATAAATATTTTTACTAGAAGATTTTAGAATCATATCCTGTCAGAAGAAGTTAACCTACCCTGATGACTCAGATGGTAAAGAATTTGCCCACAATACTGAAGACCAGAGTTTGATCCCTGGATCAGGAAGATTCCCCGAAGAAGGAAGTGGCAACCCACTCTAGTATCCTTGCCTGGAATACTCCATGGATGGAGGAACCTGGCAGGCAATAGTCCACGGCATTGAGAAGAGTCAGACACGACTGAGTGACTTCACTTCAATCAAATCTGATGCCTCCAGATAATGCACAAGCAAACTGAGTCCCTATGTGATTAGGTAATGAATGTTTCTAAACCATCAACACTACAACCATGTTTTCAAAGGTTTGCAATAATCCTAGTCAATAGCTTTTCATCTTCAGGTTAATTCTAACTTAACCCAATGAAGAAAAATGATGAAGATGTAGATGAAGAATGACAATCTGAATCTGAAAGAACTACATACTGGTGTTACTAGGCCACTCTGGTAAAGGGGATTTTTGAAACAAAGATTTCAGAGGCAAGGGGAGGGATGTTAATTACCTCTTTTGAACGACTGTTTGCATACTTACTGGTAATGTAGACTCATACAGTAAAATATTCATAATCATATTTATCATTTTAAAGTATTCTAAGTCTAGAGTTTGGCGGCATTAAAAACATCCACATTGTGTAACCATCAATTATATGGCATGGCCTCCAGTCGCACAGTCATGTCCAACTCTTTGTGACCCCATGGACTGCAGCCTGCCAGGCTCCTCTGTCCATGGGGAGTCTCCAAGTGAGATTACTGGAGTGGGCTGCCATGCCCTCCTCCAGGGGATCTTCCTGACCCATTGGAGTTGGTGATGGACGGGGAGGCTTAGCGTGCTGCAGTCCATGGAGTCACAAAGAGCTGGACATGACTGAGTGACTGCAGTGAACTGAGAAAAAAGATGTCTCTCAGTTAAAACCTAGAATGATGCCAATAAAAATTATAGTTTACTGGAACATTGTAAAATATACTCCTATATCTTTTACTGTATTGCTAAAGAAATGTTAAAGAATCATTATTTAGGATTTCGTTTAGGATTATTTTTAAGATTCATTATTTAGGATTATTAGAAGAATAATTATTTAGGATTATTTTTAGAATCTAAGCTCTTATTTCCAGGTTCAATTATGACAATGCTCAAAATCAGTAATTACTAGAAAATATAGCCCCAAGACCTTCTGAGAATCAAACCTATTATTTTGAATATCTTTTCCTTTAATCTCTGTCATGTTATTTGTAACTTGTTTATATGCTTCAGATTTAAAGACATATAAGAACATCAAAAACTGTTAGGTTACATGGATGCCTTAAAACCTAATGCACAAAGCTGACTGATGGTTTAACAGTAGAAAATGATTAATTTTAGTTTATTATTTAAAGAAAATACTGCAATAGAATTTCCCTAATAATGGCAGGTTTAAAGCAAGATAGCAATCAAATATCCCCTTTTCTCATTTATACACTTTCACTAGAGCTCACTTAAGTTGAGACTAACAATATCAATACCCTTTCCTACATTTTACAAGTATACTTTTATTATGAACTTCTTGGATTTTAAAACAGCTGTCTCTGGGGAAAAAAAAGTATTATCTAACCTTCTGTGGAATCTGGGCAAGAGCTGATGCAATCACATTAGATTTTTCTTCTGAGAGGTTTCTGATCATTGACCCCAGAGTAAACACCACGACTCCATCTTTTCCAGAGCTTTGAACAAACTCTTCGAGTTCCTATGAAGAAAACAGTCTTTGTAATATAAAAGCTTACTGTTATAATGGATTTCACACTCTTCTCAATGTGTCTGAATTATTAGAACAGTTCTGTACTTTCATATGTTAATGATTTCAGTGTATAATAGATGGCAAATTAAAAATTATTGTTATTAAAGACTCATGTAGTAAAGCATAATTGAGGTATGTGTGTGTCTTTGTGCTTGTCCATTTGTGTTTACAAATTATTGACTGACTGTTATCTTTTGCCATTTGCTGAGCTCTTTACATGTATCATTTAACTTAGATATATGGTGATTTTATGAGATATGTATACATTTACAGATGGGAAATTTATCTCCATAAGGTTAAGTAATTTGTTCAAGTCTACACAGCAGAGGCTGGCATAGCAAACTTCTACATTTAAGTTAAATAGCTCTGGTGCTGAAACTTAGCCTTAGATGCTAATAAGGTTTTTTCATTTTTTTCTGCGGAATCATGGTCAGGAAAACGACACAATTTTGGTATATTTACTTTTCTCTGTTTTATAAATTTCTATTTTCTTTTACTTTGATTATACATACATTTTTGCATAAGCTTCCACATACACAATTAGCAATGAGGTAGCCATGTAACTCCTGACCAGACAAGTAATGCAGAAATACCTATAAAGCATACTCTGAGGATTATAGGGATATACTAGAAATATATAGCTTTGAATTGAAAACAAAAAACAACATATATAATCATAATGAAATAAATCTTTTCATCCTCTTTTTAAATACTAGCAAAACTAAGCCAGTTAACTATGACAAAAAAAAAAAAAGAACGTGTGTGAGGCACGAAATGGAAAGACGGGGAAGATATTTATATTAAGGGACTTCTCACATGTTTATTGGAGAAGAAAATAGCAACCAGTTCCAAAGTCTTGCCTGGAGAATGCCATGAACAGAGAAGTCTGCCAGATTGCAGTCTATGCGGTTGCAAATATCCAGACAACACTGAAGTGACTTAGCACTCACACACATGGTTATGGAGGATGTCAAATTTAATCTGCAGAACAGTACGTTAGGCTGGAGACTCAAAGAGCCACTGCTGTAGTTCAAGTATGAAGGCTGCCTAATGGCAGAATTCAGTCTTTTGTTCTATCCACATCTGCAACTAATGGAATGAGGCTTACCCACATAACGGAGAGTAATTAGTTTAATCAAGGTCCACATCTTTAAAAGTTGATTTCATCTAAAAATAGCCTCTCAGTAAGTTCTAGAAAAATATTTGTCTAAATACCTGGTTACCTGGTCAGGCAAATTAACACTTAAAGTTAACCATTACACTGTTTAAAGATGATTTGACTTAAGATATAATGATATCTTTATGTTCAATTATCACATAGTATTCATAAGATACTAGGAAATATTTTAAAATTTATATAAAACACATTTTCATGAATAGTTAATGGACTTTGAACAAGAAAATAAAATATTGAGGACTACTTCATTAGATAATAATACATAATCCAAAATCCAAAATAAAGGCTCACCTTCTTACTGTAGTGTATAGACTAAGAAAATAATGATCATTAAATTCTATGTCTGTTTTCCCTGCTTGGGGATCAAATATTGTTAACAATAAACAAGAAATCATTTTAAGACATAAATACTCATAGCCAGGTCGGGAAGATCCCCTGGAGAAAGGAATGGCAATTCCACTCAAGTATTCTTGCCTGGAAAATTTCGTGGGTAGAAGACCATAGCAGGCTACAGTCTATGGGGTCACAAATAGTCAGATAATACTGAATGACTAACACTTCACACTTCATTCGTGTAGGAAAATAATAAGCACATTTAATTACCTTAGGTAGGGGTTTTGCAGGCTTGCAGTGCAGTCCTCCAACAAATTCAGTATTAGGTAAGTAAGGTTGAGGAAATTCAAAATCCCAGTAACTTCGAAACAACCACATGTCAGCTTTCCCCATTGTCTCACATATTGTGGTAGGTTTTCCTGAATAAAAATGAAGGATAATAGAGGGAAAGGAATCTGATATGTTAAATGAGAGATATACCTTCACCTAATTTTCTAAGTAAATTCTTAAAGACCAATACTGAGCCTACGCAACCCAGGTTAAATCAATTGGCCTTTTACCCTGAAAAGTACACATAGTCAGATTATGAATAAGTAAACACAGATTTGGGCTTCCCTTTTGATTCAGCTGGTAAAGAATCCGCCTGAAATGCCAGAGATCTGGATTCGATCCCTGGGTTGGGAACATCCCCTTGAGAAGGAAAAGGCTACCCACTCCAGTGTTCTGGCCTGGAGAATTCCATGGACTTGTATAGTCCAAGGGGTTGCAAAGAAGCCCACACGACTGAGCGACTTTCACTTTCACTTTCAAACACAGATTTAAGTATGGAGCAAGACCAAAAGCCTGTTGCTTTCTCTCTGTCAATGGAGTCTTTCATCTTGATCTAAATCTGAGCCCACTCGGGTGCTTCTATTAAGTACAAGAAAGTTGGGAAGCGATTCTCAGTATTCTGTGGTAGAGTCGCACCTTCTTTTCTGGAATTCCAATTTATCTCATCCTCATTGCTCCAAAAGCCTCTGATTATGTTGAAAACCAGCTTGCGTTTTACCCATCTTTTTTTTTCTATTATTTTCAAGTGTGTTGCCACAACTAATTACATCCTGAATACTTTTAATACATTTCTTAAAAGGATTGTCTCCTTTGCTATAGTAAATGAAATTTCCTATTTTACAAGATTTTATCCTCTTGGTGAAAATATTGCACTGCATAGTAATCTGGTGGTGAAATAATTTCTATTTTGTAGCATATATTTCCCAGAGTTGTGGTGTCCTTTTGAAATATGTGCTCCATGTCAAGGAGAGGAGGAAACCATAGCCATCTGGTTTCTCACCACATGGCTTTTTGAATATTTTCCTTGATGTTCTAAGTGTGCTAAAGGTTTGACTAGAAAATATTAGGGGTCTTGAACTCCTAGGAAGATGTATCTGCATAACAGATCAAGGCAAATCTCAGTAAATGAGGGGTTTTATTCTGGTAATGGCAATATCCACTTTCACACTCAGCACATATCTTTAGGAAAATGTACATCGGTTTTACTTTGTCATTTATTTTTTAATTTACTCTGAACTTTTGTGATAATATACTTTGAAGTTAATTGTAAACTGTTATATTTCTGTTTGGTAGAAAATAACATCTCCCAAATCATGATTCTATTACTCTATAGGGTATTTTTTAACCATTGTTTTGTCTAGACTACTGCTCTTATCCTAAAATTCCTTTATCTCCTGAAAGTTTTATAAACAGTTTCTCAAGTTTTTGAAATGAATGCTGTCTTTCTTGGTTATTTTCTCATCAGTTATTTGAACATACTATGACATGCTTTAATGAATAATTTTATAAATCATTTATTAATTTATATTTTATACATAAATGTATATTTGTGCATATATTTATTATATGTTTATATATTTTATAATATGTATGAATGTATATTAATATAATATATTTATAATTTTATAGATAAAAGTTTCTAAATTATGCATTATATTTTTAAAATTTGAAAAACATATTTGTAATACATAATATAATGAAGATTTTAAATTCTCAATAGCCAAATTATATCTGTAACTTATAGCATTTTAATATCAATAAGAATAAAAAGAAATGTGTTTCTTCTATTTACCAAGTTTTTACTCTTCCTCTCAGATTATTGGTATATTCCACCAAAGAATAGTCTAAGTTGCTGAGAATTACAGAAGAATCAGGGACAGAGCAATACCCTATCACTAGAAAAGATGTTCCTAAACTGAGTGTCAGACTGCTGGGATCAGAAGTAAACAACCAGCTTCAATCCAATTGTAGATCATTCAAAGCTTAATCCATGACTCAGCAAATGTCGCTTTCATGAAATTTTAAGTTATCTTTTTCAATGTTGCCTTTTGTAGCTTGAACTCTCAACACGGATATGTGATAGTTTCTGCCCACATTTTATAAGGCCATTTCTAGAGATATAAGCACCTGTTTCCGTCACAAAATGCCCAGAAGTTTCAGAGCAACATATCGACCTTGATTATGTCATATGCCTTTTTTTAAGATATTACATATTGCTGGACAGCAGAGTTCGTTAGACACACTCTTGTTATTTGTGAGTTGTTGAGTAATTTCGAAGAGGAAATTTTGAATAGACCTATTGTCACTCCCTTTTTTCAAGTGAAGTGAAAGTTATTCAGTCATGTATGACTCTTAGCGATCCCATGATTAGCGGCTCAGAGATTCCATTCAGTCCATGGAATTCTCCAGGTAAAAATAGTGGAGTGGGTAGCCTTTCCCTTCTCCAGGGGATCTTCCCAACCCAGGGATTGAACCCAGGTCTCCCAAATTTTAGATGGATTCTTTACCAGACAAGTCACAAAGGAAGCCCAAGAATACTGGAGAGGGTAGCTTCTCCCTTCTCCAGCAGATCTTCCCGACCCAGGAATCGAACTGGGATCTCCTACATTGCAGGTGAATTCTTTACCAAATGAGCTATGCACTTCACTCGAAAAAAGGAAAAATGAAGTGGCTATATAAAATAACAGATCACAACTATATCCTTTTTTTTTTTTTTTTAGGAATAAACACAATTTTTAGTAATGATAGGGTAGTAGAGATACATCTGTTAAAACGAGTAACAAGGGAAAAAAATAAAAATTCATATTAAAATGAAAAAGTTCTAAACAGACAAATCAATCCTGAGAAAGAAAAACAAAGCTGTAGGCATCACACACTCTGATTTTAAGAAATATTGTAAAACTATATTAATCAAAACAATACGTGCAGGTTTAAAAACAGTCCATTAGAACAGAAGCAAAAGTCCAACGATAAGCTCATGCATATGTAGTCTACAAATATTTCATAAGGAAGCCAAAAATACTCAATGAAAGAAGATAGTCTTAAATAATTCTTACTGAAAAAATTAAAAGGATAGTCATATAGAAAAGAATAAAACTAGACTCTGATC